TAAGTCGTGCCTCAATCCTGTAAAGAGGCGCTGTGAGTCAGTATTCGTGTCAAGAAAAGAAGAGCAGACCTGTAATAATTGAGAGCCGCGCTTTCAGGAGCAGCCTCCCGCTACCATGGTCTTTAAGGAGACGCCAAAGTACTCATAAAACCAATGACAGTACCATGACCTTGACACGTTTGATGATGTTGGAAGATGAGTATGTAATATTTGAACCGCGTAAATTCTCGTTTAGGCGTCTACAATTTTTACCCTTTGACTTAGTTGGAATATTTCTAACGGATGAAAACCAGATCAGAGAGGAGCAGGGCGATACAATAAAGGAGCCTAAGGGCCAAGGTGAATGTTCCTCGTGATCGAGGCATTGTGGGAGGATGGTTTATCAGGCCTGAATTCCCACCCGTTGATTTTGATACGCAGATGTATTATGCTACAACTGTACCCTACTGGTTTATTAAAATGCAAACTATAATAGTTGATGCCAAGTAAAATGTAATATATTCTAAATTGATTCTCGAGGTTAAGCTCTTTATGTAATAAAGGACGAAGAGTTCTATGCAATAGGAACTTAATCTAGTAGGCTAGCACTACGACTTCCCGAGGCAAGTAAGCTATGAATCTCATACCCCGAGACGCCACGCAACGGGTATATCCGAATGAGCGTTATCGCGACACCTTCAAAAGCCTCACGCCTCAAGGGCCTATCAAATGACCCGGACTTGCGCCATTGAATGGTCTGCAAGCCAGAACGTCTCAACCCCAGTCACTGACAAATGCCAAAGAAGGCACGGTGATAGTGGAGGTCTTTTTCGAACTTTCAACTGACCCTCGATATCTAGAAAAGCCTTCGATTGCGGCAGCTGGATACTGGAGGGCAAAGGAAAAACCAAGGCCGCGGAATCTCTACAGCTAGTGACGAATTTTGCCGAATTGACGGAATCCCCTTGATCGCATGTGCCATCTGGCTTCTGTTTCCTCTGAAAGGACTGTAGGAGCCCATGGAAGATCCCGGGGGACCAGTGGCAGAGGGTCTCTTGAATTTGAAGCTGCGGCCGCAAGACTCGTAGCTATCAATGCCTGCTAGATTCAAGTTTCCAGCAAATCCGTAGAAGCTATCAAATTCGAAGCTTGGCGCTTAGAAGAAGGTGCGCATCGCGTATCAAGCCACTTGATGCATTCATGCTGTCTACTAGTACAAATGCCCGCCGTCGGCAAAAGCACACCCCGGGCATGCCAAAACTACAGCTACACGAATCCTTTTTAACCCTTGCGCCATGCATCCACTCTAACGTCCCGAATATAATACAAAGGATAGATGAGGAGATGTTGTGTTTCATGGATGGGACACACTCCTGGAAAGTCGAGGGGCGATTTTTACGTCCTGGTGCTGCCCGCCTTCTCGGCAACATTGGCTGCCGTCATGCTAGCCATCTCTTCCAGCTCCTCTTCCTCCCACTCGCCGTCTTCGTCGCCAAAGACGCTCTTCCAGGCGCGGCTCCACATGCCCTTTTTGTGGAGGAGCGCCAGGATCATGACGCCGGGCAGGTGCCATACGCTTGCCCAGAAGAGGCCGCGCGCGCTGCCCTTGTGGCCCTCGAAGCGCCAGAACTGTACGGCCTGGTGGATGAGCCAGGCGTTGACGGGCAGACTGGTTGCTGCAAAGGACCACTCGGTCACGCCGGCGGCGCAGAGGCCCAGACACAGCGGGACGAAGACGATGCTGTAGCGGAGTGCGACGCGGGAGTTGCGCGCGGGGTTGGTCCACGCGAGCATGCGGAGGCCGGCGGCCTTGTACTCGTCGCGGATGGGCCAGCTGAGGGCCATGAAGTGGGGGAACTGCCAGGCGAAGAGGAGGCCGGCGAGCAGCCAGCCGCCGATGGAGGAACCGTCGCTGGCAAAGAGGAGTTCACGCCATGAGCCGTCGTTGGTGGCTGCTTCGCCCGCGGCCGCCGCCCATCCCATCAGGGGCGGGATGCCTCCTACAACTGCGCCGACCCAGGTGTTGAACGCGGTGACGGCCTTTAAGGGCGTGTATATGCCCGCGTACAGGACGATGTTTGAGAGGCCCAAGAAGGAAACGGTGGGGTTGACGCCAAAATACAGGGCGGCAACACCGGTGGCACCGGCGAGGATGGCAAACAGCGCGGCAGTGCGCGGCGACACTAGTTTTCGAACAAGCGGCCTGTTTCTTGTCCGCGACATTTTGGCATCGGTGGACGGCTCGTAGAGCATGTTGAGGGCGTTTGCGCTGGCTGAACAGAGAGCCGTGCCGGTGGTAAGGAACAGCAGCGTCAATGGGCTCAAGCTCGGCGTTTCCGTCATGGTGGGCATGAGCATCTCGGGCACAGGGTACAGCGCATACGGGGCCATGGCTGTGAGCACCACGAGGACAGTGAGCCGCGGTTTCGAGAGCGACAAGAAGGTCGAGAGGGTTCGGCTGAGAGAGTGCGCTGGTTGCGCCGCGGCAACATTTGTGAGGATGGTGGATGCATTTGCAGGCAGAGTGCCGTCTACTGAGGACCCAGCAGCGCTTGCGGCCTCGCCCGCCTGTTTTCGGGCTCGTCTTCGACGATGCGGAGGTAGGCGTGAGCTCAATTGGGGTAAATCTTGGATGTTGGCCGTAAAGGTGCCGGTGGTTTGGGTTCTGGCGTGGCGCGCCGAGGTGCATGTAGACGCTGAGGTTTGTCGGAACCGGTGACTTGAGATGATTGAGTCGAGACAACTGGATCGATCGACCGCTCGATTCGACAGGAAGAAGCTTGCGGTGGCTAGAGGAGCCGCTGAAGGGATGGTACCGCTCCGAGGAGCTCGTAGGCTACCCGATGAGGAAAGCCATCGTGAGGGTTGGTGATTGCCCAGGGTAAGGATGCTGCGAACCTCGCGTGTGCGATTGAGGATTCGTGGTGGCCGCATAGTCGCCTGCTTCATGTGAGCATGGCGATCTCTCACGAGGCTTAAACCACTTGACCTCGTCGCTGCGAGGGAATCCGTGGATGCTGCCTTTTTTTGTAAAGCGACAAGACGTTGGATATTTTCCGCATGGTTGACAGGCTTCATTGATGGGCCGTTGCGCCACGTGTGGAGTCATGTGATGGCCAGATCGTGAGTCCATGGCATGACTGTCACTTTCTGGGCAAGCCCGTGAACCGGGTGAATAATGTTTAAAATGTTTGAATTTCACCCAGTAGTCCTTGTTTCATAGATTCAAGGATGATCAAACGGTACCAAATGTTGCTCTCTACGTAGTCTATACTACCACCCCCTCATCGGTCCAGAGCCCCGACTCCAACCACAACCCCAAGACAAGACAACAGTTCTGAGCATGAGACTCTAGCGACTATCCTGTAGAATTATAGCCTTGAGCTCAGCTATTCATCTTCAGCCTTGCCCCCCCTCAATGTCTTCCCTACTAGATTCCCTGCGGGGGGCCAGCCAAGTCGACGGTGATACCATGGACGCAGAAGGTATTCCCGCCCATATCATTCAACACGGGAGCTCTACTCAAGCCCCTAACTGAATAAAGCGACTGAGAAGCTCGGTCCATTCGCCGACTGCACTTCCAACCAGGTATATCCAAGCACGGCATCACAATAATCAGCCCGACTCACTGACCCAACTTCACCCGCGGGCAGGCAATTGCCTATTTCGAGCTGAGCAAAGTAAACTCCGATACCAGTGCGCTGTTTCACAAGGACCTCATCAACGCAGCTATAGCGGATTCCAGGGGTCGGTTGAGCAGTCTTCAAGGCTCAGCTACTTTTGAGGAATTTGTAGTCGAGATCGTGGTAGGTCGAGTCTCGCCATCCAACGGCCGAAGCCTGTGTTGACCCCTACAGATGGTTAAACTGCAGCTCCGGCTCATACGACATGTAGCAGGATTCATTCACGTATAGACAAACCCTAAAGCAGCCTAGTCCACTACTTGCACCGTTGAAAACGCAAAACGTACGCATCTTTCCAGGCCAGCGTAGTACCATGACACACTCACCCACCACACGACCAGGCATCGACGGTATTTTCAAAATCCTCGGCCATGCAGATCCGGAAAGAGTATGCGTAAAAATCCCTTCCACGTGGCAAGGCCTCCGGGCATGCCGCGTCCTCGAGGCGGAAGGAATCGCAACGCCTGCCACGACCATGTTTTGCATGTAACAGGCTGCTCTCGCCGCCGCCGCGGGCTACATCTACATCGCGCCATACGTCAATGAGCTCAGGGTCCATTTTGAGCAAGGGCACGTCGCGTCTGCGTTCCGTCCCTCGGTAACATGGTGCACCGCCCCCGTCTAACAACGTCCTAGATGTGTCGACGGTAGCAAGGGCTTTGAGTGTTGCCGGCAAGCGCAGGCGTATTGCACACAACACTCGTGCCGTACGCGGTTCCTGGCCGCGTCTTTGACGTCGGTTGACGAAGTAATGCAACTCGCTGGGATACAACACATCACCATTACGCCCAAGCTACTGAGTGAGCTTCTCGAGACATGTCTCTTCGTGGTCGTGGAGTGGACAGCTTGGTGCGTACTTTGCTCCACGTCCTTTGGATGATTGGTGGGAGAAGACTACAGACTGCCAGACTATTCTTGGGCATGAAAGTTTGTGGAGATTGGCATTCACCAGGAGCGGGTTTGGAGCAAGCCAAGGAAGGACGATGATACAGGCCATCAACTACTTTTCTGACTTTCAGGACAAGATCGAGGACCTGCTTCCGGCCGCTGCAAAACTAGCTACTAAAGTTACACCCAAAACGACAATTTCACACAGCCTTCGCGTGGCCAGCATTACATCATGTATGGACAGGCCATTTGATGGTCTTGACTCTTTATATTATAGGTGCCCGGGTCTATATATATATGGAGACTCTAGGGGGAAGCGCAAGATCCTTCGATCCGTACCAGTTTTAGAAAAAGACCAGATTTATTTAGAACACACGTAAAACCTTGCCAAACTCCAAGCCCGGGAAATTCCCCATGTCCCAATCATGACCCGTGTGAATGCGACTCCATTCACAGACATTCGACAGCTTTCAGAAGCACATCAACGCCTTTATCGCCGATATCCCCTTTTCCCCCCAAGAGACTACCAATATCGCTCAGAATTCCCAGCGGAATGTAGCAGCCGGTCTTTGCCTTCTCCAGGCTCTCCTTTAAACGGCTGGTGTGCTCCCAATCCCTGGCAGCAACCTCTGCTCTCTCAATGACCCGATCGGAAATGCCACACATGGCCGCGCAGTGCATACCAAAACTTCCCTCAGCAACCCCATCCTCGAGCTTATACAAAAATGTTACCTTTCGTTCTGCATCGTCTACATGAATTTGCATTCGCCTTGCTCTAATTTCGGGGTGATTCTCAAACTCGGTAGCCAAGGAATGATAGTGAGTGGCGAAGAAGCCCACGCATCCAATGTGAGTTGCGACATGATGCAGCACGGCCTGGGCAACGGCAACACCATCGTAAGAACTTGTTCCTCTACCAAGTTCATCAAGAATCACAAGTGAGCGTGGAGTAGCTTCTGATAGAATCTTCTTGGTTTCCGAAAGCTCTACGAAAAAGGTAGACTGTGCGGCGAAAATGTTGTCGTTGGCTCCCAGACGGGACATGATACGATCGACAGGAGTAAGGCGAGCAGACACCGCTGGAACATAGCATCCAATCTGCGCCATGATCACAGCCACGCAGGACTACAGGACAATTGTCAGCCATATAATATAGTTTAGAACCATTCACATGCACAAAAGAAACTTACCATTCGCAGTACGGTCGACTTTCCGGCCGCATTAGCACCAGTCAACAGGTTGATTTTGGCTTGGTCGCCACCCAGTTTAACATCGTTAGGGATAAAATCATCAACAGCGTTGATCATGCATGGATGCCGCAGCTCTTCGAAATCAACAAAGCTGCGCTCCTCATCGACGAATTGGGGTCTGCACGATGGCTGCCCCAGAGCATTCGAGGCCTTGGCCAAACTGACCAGACAATCCAATTGCGCCACAATCTTAATCGCAAGCAGCCAGGTATTGTAGTCAACGTCAAACTTTTGGAACAACCGCGACGCGATTTCTCGGACAAGTTGGGAATGGAGCTCTTCAGCCTCTTGAAGCTCCCTGACAAGCTGGGTGAGCTGTGGGAAGTACCATCGTTTGACGTCCTTTGTCGCGGACATTTGTCGCCAGCTAGAGGGAACTTTTACACTCTTGGGGGTTTCGATTTGATAGATCTCCTTGCCGACATCGGTAAACTTTAGCGTCCTGCACTTCAGTTCTCCCTTCTTCTCGCTCAGCAAATCATTCAGCTGGTCCTTGATCTCTTCCATTTGGTTCAAACTGTCGTCAAAGTCTGGTTCAATACCGCGTGCGGGGATTAATATCTTGTCTTCTCTGGCCTTTCGACGATCAAACGCTGTCTTCCAGTACGTCAAAGGCTCTTCGAGATTGGGCATGGATGAAATGAGTCGGTCAACGAGGCCGTTTCCTCCTTTGAATGCTTGGAGAAGGCCCATAGTGAATTCTATTTGCTCGAACCCTTCTAGCACTCGTACGAAGTCTTCCGGTTTGCAAGCCCCAGCGTGAATTCGGGAGATGAGTCGCTCCAAATCTGGCATCTTAACGAGCTGGGATGCAAACTGTTCGCGAACCGTGGGATCGGCATTCAACATGTCCACTGCATCCAATCGCTCATTGATCCGTTGAATGTCGCATAAAGGATGAGCTACCCATTGGCGGAATAGTCGTTTTCCAAAGGGAGTTATGCACTTGTTAAGTAGGCTGAATAAAGTTCCCTCAGAACTACCATTCGACGTATTTGAAAACAGCTCTAGGTTCACCAGAGTCTGTCCGTCCAGAACCAGGGTTCCATTCTTTTGAATCGGGCTATACTTCTCAAAGTTTCCTTGAGAAAGAAGTGGTCGCTCCAACTGTAGGAACTTTAGGTATGACACCAACGCTCCCACGGCAGACATGACCAAGTCATCGTCCTTGTACTGCTGCAGAACTTCTGGCCAAACATCATCTTCACCCTCTTGAGTGGTGAAGTAGTTGCCACACTTCAGTTCTCGCCTGGAAGTATCTGCGTCCCAGAATTCGGACCCAGGCTTCAAGTGTGTCCAAATCGTGGTTGGGCTGGTATTGTTTTTGAGAATCCGCAACGCTCTAGTAGAGAGATGGGACTTCTCAATCAAAAGTTCACGGGGGGCGATCTGCGCAACAAAGGTCTCAAACTTTGTGAGGTCAACATCGTCAGTAAACCCTGATAGCTGGAAACGCCCTGTGGCAGTGTCTGCAAAGGCAATGCCAAATGCAGGCAAGTCATCGACCACTGACTCCTTGATTGCAACACAATACGCAGCCATGTCGTCTTGGAGCATGCTGCCATCAACGAGGGTACCGGCAGTGAGTACGCATGACAGTTCGCGGGAAATGACTTTGTCAGCCTTCTTTCCGCTTCTATCTTGGCGCTCACGCATCTCCTTCCCAAGGTTAGTCTCCATTTGATCGACTCTCGCAACCTTGTACTGCTTTGCAATAAATTGGTTGACCCAATGATCCAAAGAGCTTTCCGGAACCCCGACCATTCTCATATTGACTCTGTCAGTCATCTTGAAGTCGAATTCCTGGTGTCCAATAGTAGCGTCGTTCTCATATAGCTCGTAGAATTTGCCCTTTTTGAAGAAGACAATTGTATCCCACAGGTTCTGTTTAATCTCCCAGTACTGCTTTTCAAAGGGCGAAAACTTGTTCCAGGCCATGGGCGGAATGTAGATGGTTCTGGGATCATACTCTGGATCGCTAGGAGCACGCTTCTCCTTGTCCCGAATGTTTGCTAGCCATGGGTAGCGATCTTCGGGCTCTTTTGTGTGCGCTTTCTCCTTGCGTTTGGGGTCTTTGGCGGCAGCACGCTCAGCAGGCGTTACGACAGGTCGCTTCTCAGTAGACTCGGGATCATAATTCCATTGTGAAGTGGTCGAAGTTGTAGGAATGTCAGTCATTAGCTCGTCATCTACATCATGGATCGGAGATTCTTGTCTGGTGTCTGCGGGTGGTGAGACGTTGGATCGTTTTCGTGCTGTCGCAGCTTTTGCAGGGCGCTTTCGCTTCTTGGTCCGCGGGAGGTCGTTGGAGTCATCAGAGGCGATGAAATCTCCCATGTCTGCACGATATCCATCAGCATCAAACACGGATTGCTGGCCATGGCCTATCCAACATACCATCCTCCTCCTCTTGGGACGCTACACCGTCTTCGTCAAACTCATCTTCGTCTTTAACAGTCCGACGAGCTCGACCACGCCGAGTTTGGGACCTGCTTGAATAATTGAAGGGCTCTTCATCATCGGACGATTCGGCATAACTGACAATCTTCTTCGTCTGTGCCAGGATGGGGTGTTAACGGACAAGTCAAGCTGTCTCAAGGGAGGCTGTTGACAGCCTCGTCTCCGCGAAAAACACGAAATGCTCACCTTTCGGGTTGGAGTGCCGCATTGCACTGCTTTCGGAGTCACATCGTTTGTAGACCTCGTGCGTGGAGTCATGGTTGTTGGTGACAGCAGGTTGCGACTGGTAGTCTTTGTGGCGGAAACAGAACCAGCATTCTCCTGCGAACTGGGCGGCTCGATGGCGTCGCTGCTAGGGACGGGCGTAGAGAGCTTCGTCGATGGCTTCGGCTTGGGCAGAGAGTTGGCTTTGGTGGTCTCTTGCAGACATGAAGAATGTTGAGGATCGGGGGAGACCTTTTCACGAGCGGCAGGCGAGGATCTGGCGACGGGTGACGACTTCTGGAAGAAGCTCATGATGGAGCGCTGCTTTGCTGATGCAGAGGCAGAGCTAGTTGGCTTGGGTGCCGGCTTCGCGGGTGTGCGAGCCGTGCTCGAGCTAGCCTTATCGCCAGCCATGGTGATTCCGACTCCCGAGTCACGTCAAACGCTGAGCATCTACACACAGGATTGCGAGTGTGAGTCGAGGTGCACGGGAGACGATGCGGATCATCAATTGGATACGCTTGGCAATTATAAGGAGTTTAGATAAATGCAAGAACAAACCAAGCACAAATAGATATTGATAGTTCCTGAGAAATGGCAATTAAAGTCATTGGGATGAGAATGAGAGAACAGGATGATAGGAGGAGGCAACTTTCAATCCTGGTGGGATATCAGGGACCAATTTCGAAGTAGCGCGTCGCGTAGGGCGCGTCCCGTGTAAAGTGGGTAGGAGCCGGGGTCGTGCCTGCCCGCCCGTATCCTCCGCACCCGCGCCGCGTACAGCGCTACCCTGTCGATGTAGAAGCCCTGGACAAAGATTCTGGTGATTTGCCATCATTGCAGTGGTGGCGGTTAAAAGCGTCGCAGGTTTAGCCATGCCGTGTCAATTTCAACATCATCACTGTCTAGCTACCTCAAGCCCTCGGCTTTGATCCTTGTTCACCCAAATTGTCAGCGTCAGGACGCTCGGGTCAGCAACTCACTCACGAAGCACATGTACATAACCCCAGCAACCCAAATAAAACTGCTAATTAACATGCTACTCTCTACAGGTCTACGCCTCCAACTCGTCATCTACGGACCTTGCCGAGAATCCAACTCACCCAATTCCCGACGCACAAGAGACACGCGAACCACCAATGTCGAACCCCAGTGCTATGTCCCGCCCTCAGATTTTTCCGTGACTCAGTCCATATCCTCCTCGCACGGGGCTCACTGATTTGATCATACGCCTCCACCGCCCTGGCCAGCGATTCGTGAGACTGGCACAGCTGTTCCGCCAAATCGCATGCATCAGAAAGGGCTAAATTTGCGCCGAAGCCGGCAAAGGGACTCAGAGCGTGGTTGCTGTCGCCGATGAAAACCACGGGCATGTCGGAAACATCGTCGTGCCGAAAGGGCTGCTTGTCTCGGCCGTTGATACATAGGACCGACTCGGGGTCGGTTTGCCTCGTCATTGTAGGGAAGGGCTCGTGGAAGATGTGACCCAGCGCGGCGGCCTGGTCGACTACCGCACGACGCTCCTCTTTGCCTTGTTCGCGCGTGAGCTCCTTGATTGGTTCCGTCTCTAGGTTGCCGACCGCCCAGTGACTGTATTCCTATCTACCGGCGATATGAAGCATGTCACGCCTGTGCTGCCCATGACGAAGCCCCAGTCCTTGTCTACCGGGCTGGGAACACCCTCTGGGAATGTAGCCAGCCCTCCTCGTAGAACGGCGCCGATGTACCCCAAGCCGTCATGTGGACGGAGCACTTTTCGTATTTTGCTGTTTGCCCCATCCGCGGCGATCAATACATCACATTCGGTATGGGCTTCTTCAGCCTCTTCTCCTTCCCTGATTTCCCTCAAGTATACTTTGAGTCTGCCACTGGGAGCCTTTTCAACATTTACGCATTGCGTGCCCCAATGGATGCTGCTGTTTTCAAAGGACGCCCACTCGTCTGTTAGAATACGCCTGAGTTCCTTCCGGACGATGCGAATACTGGGTGTAGGCAGTCCTGCAATCGGCGGCCGCTGTGAACGAAAACGCTCCCCCCAGTCTGGGCTCCAGATAGTGAACGACCCAGAGCCGTCTATCCCAGAAACTGCACTTGAGAAAACAGTGTCAACGATGCCGAGCTTCTTGAGGGCGACAAGCCCGCCGGCCTCGCTGTATCCTGATATCGAAAAGGTGTAGTTTTGCCCTTGTCTCCACGCGTCCGAGTCGGGGCTGTCGCCATCATATATGATGATGGTGGGTGGATTTTGGCTGTGCTTCCATTGTTTTCGGAGGGCTATTGCAAAGGCAAGGCCGGCGATGCCAGCACCAGCTACGACGATGGTCTTGCCAGCCAGGAAATGCCGACCTTGGTCAGAGGTGGCCATGGCAATTTCCTCTGCTGGCAACTTGGATTATCCCCGGGGTGTGTAGGCCTTGAGCTCGAGGGATTTAAGTCGGAATAGCTACCTGGGGTGCAGAGGAATGTGCACGGACAAAGGTTGTCTTTTATGCAATGACGGAATGCCCACGTCTTCGCAAAGGGTCGAGAGTCACCCAAAGAGGCGTGTCGTCAAGTCAGCAGATACCGCCGCATGAAGTTACACAACCGAGGTGTTGGGTTACACCAGTGAATTCATTGGACGCCAGACACATCCCCTCACAGCAGACAAGGCTCCAGCAATGTATGATGTGCCAAGGATGAGTGTCAATATGCAAATTTCGGTGAATAAATAATACATGTGTGACTACTGAAACTCTACTTGAAAAGAAGTATTGATGATTCACTACCGGGTTATACGGGGGGCCTCCACAGCCTCGTAGAGGGGAATATGTTGTCGGAGCCTCAAGGGGAAATGAATTTGGCAAAAATTTCTGCACAGTTTGCTCTGTGTGTCCGGTTCATCCCCTTCTAACAGGATTCCCTACTGTCCTTTCCCGTCCTTGTGAGCATCCCAATACTTGGGACCAACGTCAAAACACGCAGTCTTTTTTTCTTACCTATACTTACCTAAAGCCCACGAGTAAGTAACCCACACGGGTACCCGTGGACCTTTTACACCCTAATAAAAACCCTTAAGGAGTGAGACTGCGAGCGGATTAGAGTGTTTAATGCGCGGCCTCGGCAAAATTCGCAATCCTTCCACAAAGCGATTTTGCAATAACAGGTCGGACAACGCTTGGCCATCAACCTCGTGGGAACTCGGCAATCGACACAGCATAAATCCCGACGCCGCAGCTCCAACTGCACCCTGTCGCGTATCACCTGGGGTTGCTGATGCGCGTCGACTGGGCAATTTTGCTTCGCTATACTGATTTCGCAAGCCCATAACAAGTGCCGTTATCGGTAGTCGGCGGAAAGATGAATGGTCAAGCTCAAACTCTGGTCAAGAGCTTGCACAAGAGGCTGACAGACAACGTTAGAGCTGTAAGCCAAAGTCGACCATGCCGTCCTTATCCACTTGAGCTACTTCCTCAAGAGACTGGTTCTCATAGATGATTTTGCACTTGGTACATCCTTTAAGCCCCTACCGTTAAGGTTTCAAGAATATCCATGTCAAAGGCCCATATTGGTGTGCTCGTTGAGGAGATTGATCAGGGCTCGGCCAGCCACCTGCCGGTATCTACACCTATGGCCATAACAGCGTCGTTTGGCTTCACGGATCACGCGCGCATCTTATATCCATGCAAATACGAGTGTATTTTTCTGCATTCAAGTCCGGCCGGACTACAAGGACGAATCAGCAACCTTCTAGAGCGTGTACATAAATAGGCATGTCGTATATTTTGTCTAATATGCCGGTAAGATCATATACTCCACGTTCCTTATATACAGTATTATGCAGGCAAAAAATATACACCCCCGACACTCGCTTACATCGTATAGGAAGGCCTAGTTGAATCGATATGGGCAGGATGCAGTATGCTCGTTTCCACCACCGATTGAAGGACGCCTTTATCCTTGCACGCAATCAAACACTTGTTCCTATATAGGCGTGCCGGGAGACCCGTCGTCCAAGTTATAGTCAAACGCAAAGTCTCCAAACTGGTCCTTCATCCTGCCCGCACACGACTCCAGGTTCCATGCGAAAGCGGCATCCGAGATGGCAATATCCGCAGCGCCAAAGTCGTAGGCGACCAGTTTATCTCGCAATTCGACGCGTGGGAAGCCGTTGTATGAGATGAGCGCCGACCTCCACCAGACGTGCTTGTGGTTCTCTGGCGGTTCGTCGCCGGCACCCATTGAGAAGCGAAAGTAGTGCGTCCCGATGGCGCCGTCCTTGTTGTAGACGGCCTTCATGTGGTTGCCCTCCTTGGGAATGTCCTTCCAGAGGCGCGCGTCGTATTTGCCGTGGGCGGAGGCGCACCCGAACTGCGGCACGCCGTCCCTCGTCCACACCTGCAGATGCTCCCAGTCGTACTGGTGGCCGATACAGATGCGGTCGCCAACGTCCTTCTCGAAGAAGTAGTCGTATAGGTACGCGCACCAGCCGTTGTTGCAGCGCTGGCGGGAGTAGACGTTGCTGTGGTCCAGGTCGTATTCGTCCCGGCAGCCTTCCGTGTTGGTTTCATGGCGAGACCGGCCTTGGTCGATATGCCCGTCGGGGCCGATTGCAGGCACGTTGTAGCAGCTGTCCGTGTCGAAGTCGAGAGCGGGCTGGAACTTGAGGTCTTCTGCGGTTGCTCGTTGGGGCAGAGGAGGCGGAGGGTTCTCGTCGAATCCCCCGTCGTCGCAGAGACCCTGGATTACAGCTTCCCTGGACTCCGGGGGAACGACCAGATCTGGATGACCTTGGACGGTGAGTGTGTCATTCAAGGCCAAGCTTTTGGTTGGGAATTGTCTTGTTGCAAGGGCTAGAGCGCCGGGAATGACAAACAGAGACCTTAGGCTGTGCATTATAAACCTCTCAACTGAACCAATAATGTATAACTGGCCAAGTAATATTACACAAGAAGTACCAAGACAGGTTGAATTGGAAGCAAGTCAAGGGCAGCAGCTTGTCAAATATAAAGTGACACAATTGGGAAAGGAGACGGGTACAATTCCTCAAATTCACGACGACTTCAGTCTTCCGAAGGAAATTATGTCTCGCGACTCCCATAGCAGCGCGTGCATGACCCCCGTGACAACCAGATACAACTTCAGTATAAACAGTGTCTCAGGAGGGTAACAATGGCTGGTATCGGCCCACGGCCTCGTTGTAATCGAGGTGAGCAGCGTGCAAGCACGCCTTTATACACCAATTTCCCCCCCATGATGCGTAAGCATGCAACCTCGTGGCGACTTAAATGCGGCGAGTTAAGATAGCGTCGGTCCGTGACCAGGGTTCAGAGATCTGCTGGAGAACAAAAGCGACGAGCCGAGCTTCCTGGCTGGTCTGCGGTGCAGACAAAGTCCCATAATCCGCCCGATATCAGCGGCATCTGCACGGGCCGAAATCCTAGTAAAGCGCGTAGTTCATGATAAGGGTGGTTTCGGTGCAATCCCACCGGGGTCAGTTCGGCTTCATTGTGGTGATCTGCAGGGCCGGCAAACCAGTCCTTTGTTTGCAACGGCATTTGTTGCGAAGTGGAAGGTGAAGCGTCTGGTGTCTTTGGCCTAATTCCAATAGCCCTGCAACTCTGGGTTGACCGGAACCAATGAGAAGGCCATTTCGTCAAGTGTGTTCAGCTGACTCGAAGCGTTGCAATCCAGAGGAGGGCCAGTCGCATATCGAGCTTATGCCGAGTCCGTGTCCAATGCTTGTCCAACCCCTGGCGAGTAGCTCACCACTACCATGGAAGAGCGGATTGAACGTCATGAGTGCGGCTGCGAACTCGTGATCGGTGGGCGTATGAACGAATAAACTGGCCAAAATGGAGTCGACTAGGAGAGATGGGCAAATATTAGTTCAAGCCAAAGGTGCCGGCTGTCGCACCTGAGCAAAGATGACAACCTCACGAGGGTGGCCTCACCGAATAGCCAGGTTCAATTTATCCCAACGATGGACACAACCCGACGCGAAGCGAATAAGAAGGCGCGGGGTAACAGACGTTGAAGTTGTGCCGGTTCGGAACGACTAGCGGTCGGACGCCTGCGCAAAGGTCCCATTGACATTCCCTCCGCACAAATGCAAAATGTCAACCCATTTCCGTCGTATTTGTCTCCCGGGGCAAAAAATTGGCATGTCAGAACGACAAGTCTCGAATCATACAGACTGCCGCTTTGCTGTCAAACGGGTCTGGTCTGACATGGCTGGGCTCACTTGCTCACAAAGTTTCTCGAGACCGCCGAACCAATCTGGTGCACTGGATTGCTCACCCGCAGCCACGCACAATCCCAAATCCGCACCCACTGCATCTAGCAGAAGAAGCAGAAACCCGCACATGCACCCCGCATTCACACAGGGTCCACCACCCCGCCAAAAAAAAAATAACCATCGTCCGATGCTAAACTTTACCAATGTCGAACTCGGCCCCTTGGCGAGAGTTTCGTACCGCGGCCGCAAGGGACTGACATAGTCCCGAAGTAGAGAGAACCATGGCCTCTGAACTCGCCGCCGCGCCAGTCCTATCCACGCCCGACGACCACATTCTCGAAGTGCCCGCCGCCGAATCGCTGCCAAAGTCCACCCTGTCAGACGATGAACTGCGGTCGATGTACGAAGTCGGCAGCACGGCCAGCCAAATCCGCCAGGCGGGGTGGAAGAAGATTGCGCTCCAGTTCCCAGACCACATGCTCGTCGATGCGCCGCGTGTCGTGCAACTGCTAGACGCCCAACTGGCCGACGACACGACGCGGATTCACATCCTGGCCGACACGAGCTACAGCGCGTGCTGCGTGGACGAAATCGCCGCCGAGCACGCGGAGGCAGAGGTCGTGGTGCACTATGGCAGGACGTGTCTGAGCCCGACGGGCCGACTGCCCGTCATTCACGTCTACACGTCGCACACGCTCGACCACGGCGCTGTTGTCGCAAAGTTTGGCGCCGAGTTCGCCGACAAGACAAGCAAGGTCGTCGTCATGGCGGACCTGACGTACCAGGACCACGTGGATGCCATTGTGCACAAGTTGAAAGAGTCCGGGTACACAAACGTCCTGGGGACAAGCGTGGCCCGAGACCCAGCGGCCCTGATACCCAATCGGAGGATTGAAGGGCCAGAAATGACAGACGAGGCCGTCCGGTCGCATGCGCTGTTTCACATTTCCGATCCGCCCACGTCGTTGTTACTGGCGCTGCACACTCGTTTTGCGTCGCTGCATGTGCTTTCGACGGACTCGTCGTCGGCGGCGGTTGACAACCCGACGTTCAGGGCGGCGGGTCTACTCCGTCGACGGTTCGCGCGGGTCCTGTCCCTGGCCTCCGCCGGCGTCGTGGGCATCTTGGTCAACACCCTCTCCGTCTCGAATTACCTGGCTTCCATCGACCTGCTGCGGAAAAAGATTGCACAGGCCGGCAAGAAGAGCTACACGGTTGTGGTGGGCAAGCTGAACCCGGCAAAGCTGGCAAACTTTGCAGAAATAGAAGGCTGGGTAGTGATTGGCTGCTGGGAGAGTGGACTGATCGAGGACGATGTTGGATACTGGCGGCCCGTCGTCACGCCGTTTGAAATGGAGGTCGCACTTATGGGCGAGGAGGAGAGAATATGGGGCGGCGAATGGTGGGGAGGCATTGAAAAGCTCAAGCAAGAAGCTGAGGCTTCTCAAGAGGGCCACGCATCACGGGGACAAGAGGATTCTGCGCCAGCAGAGGAGGACGTGGAGGGTGGCGTGGAAGGGCAGGAATCCCTACCGCCGCAGTTTGACTTGCGGACAGGCAAGCTCATTAGTCACAGCAGACCGATGCAGCTCCCTGTGCGGAGTTCTAGCACGAATGAAGAGGGCAGCGAAGGTATCGAGGCTGGAAATACCAGTCGAGGACAGTCCAACGCCGTTGCAAAGAGAGTTGTTGGCGAATTGGCTAGTATCAACGGTGTAGCTAGTCCGGGGGCTGAGTATTTGCGATCCAATAGGACATGGCAAGGGTTGGGGACGGATTTCGACCAAGAAGCGAGTACACTGATCGAGGAAGGTCGTAGTGGAGTTGCACGGGGTTATCATGTGGGTGAGGATGAATCACGGCATTAGGCAACTGTAGTTTATGATACCAAGGATATTTGAGACGTTTCAACGAATTCATTGCATAAATGAGATATTTGACATTGCATATTCGCTGACGTTTATATTCACATTCGATATCGCGGGCATATAAAAGCATGGGGTATCCAAGCAAGCATCCACACACGATCCACCCACCGACTATAGAAACATATACAGCCCAGAACAAACAGAGCGCACCGCAGACATCTGTTTTGCGCGTAATACTGAATTTTGCTTCCAACATATAAGCGGACTTTCAAAGGCGGTTCGTTGACGAGAGAAGACATAAGCGGAGAGGAGGTTGTTGTTGCCAAACAAGGGGGATCGATCGATAGCAGTAGTCAATTAGAACATTACATCATATGGGCCAGTCTCTCGGAACGCCGTCACAGAGCATCATATACAAATGAATTTCTCTCGGCAGTCCTCCGTCAGACGCCAGACACAAGACGTGACATAATTGTGTATGGAACCGTCAGCTGCCGCACTTGCGGCCTTGCCGTGCCATAGTCAGTGACCAGAGCAAGCAGGCAAGCTGCGGCGCGGCGGGTGGTCGCTTCGTTTTGTCAAACCCCAGGCACGGCATGCTCTGAATGAATGGATCGTTTCGCAAAATCGGCTCATCTATTGGCCGCGGCAAATTTCATGACTCCAGTGGCAGGTTCTTGTAAGCGCAAGTTGCACAAGGCGCCTCAAACGTAGACTCGGCGGTGAGAGTGCGGGCTTCGATGGCTGCTGTGGCGGGATCCACCAGAACGGCTTCGGTGACGATGGCTGTGGCGGCTGGAGTGGTGGTGGTGGTGGCGGCGCTCTACAACATATGCGCCGCGGCCTTCGTAAGCCATGTGGTCGCCGTGGCTATATGCGGCAAGAGCCGTGGTCGCGAAGAAGATGATGTTCATAATGGCAAACGCCCAGCTGGCCTTGAGCATGGAGCAGGGCTTGTCCGTCTGCCAGCCCCAGTTTGGGACGGGGATGTGATTCGGAGCATACCACACGGAGCTTGAGTCGGGGTTGGAGCAGTTTGCATCTGCAATTCCTCGCATTTCATAGACGCCAGCAATGAGGGCACCCATGAAGCCAAGGTCGACCAGACATATGAAGTGAGCGTTGGCAGACGAGCGGTGGTAACTGAAGAGGGTGAAGACGGCCCAGGCAAGAGCAAGAACGACAAGAATAAAGAGGATGAGGATTGAGTCGGGTGTCAGGGCATTGTGGCTGATGAAGATGTTGATGAACCAGGCGAGCATGCCCATGGGCGGAATCTGGAGACGCAGGTTAGCATGACTGGCGGATGCGGATAGATTATGACGCGCATTAAAAGTATTGCGGCGGCTTACCAGAGTGACGATTTGAGAGATGCGAGTGCACACAAAGACCATAGCGAATATCATGATGGGCAAATGGTTCCAAGGAACCCAAGCTGCGTCTTGAGTTTTGGATGATGACACAAAACAACGTGGCAAGGTGGGAGGGATGTCAGGAATGCATAGAGAGAAACATGAAGAATCAGGGCGGGGAGGGGGGGGATCACCGACGAAGGCACACCTATTATAAAGTAACAATCGAAGCCGATCTACTCGGTAAAAACAATAAACTAACTAATTGGACGGGCTGGTTGGCTGGGAAAGACTGACTGCTCTAGATGCAAGGGCCAGAATGCGCATAGATTCGCCAGACCTTGTCTCGTCCTGGCGGCCTGCATGGATCAACGATACAAGAAAGAGAGGTGGTTGGGCGTGCGATGGGATCCACCCGCTCCTGCACGTTTTCTCTTAATGTACTCCGTATGTACGAAGCAAGCTGCAGCTGCGCGCACCTAGGTCAAGCCAACCGGAAGCACCGGGCATCGGGCATTGTTTGAAGAGCAAATGCAATTGTCAACTGTCAAGATTCTCAAAGTCGGTTCAGCGAGAGATGACTCTCAATGTTTATTTTGCGTCCACATGCACCTGTTGCGGCCCAAGCTTGGAGCTTGAGCTAAGTAAGGGCCGGCACCAGCATCAACCTTGTGGCTTCGGGTGTGGTGGGTGGTCCGGCGGGGTAGGGTGACGCACGTCCGCCCAAAACCAGGGTAGGAACTACGGAGCGTTGCCGTTGCGATGCTCAGTTAATAACAGAAAAAGAGGCACCGGGACGGAGCCTGACTTGAAGCAGTCAACGACTACGGAGTACTCCGTACATGTACCTAATATGCATTACTCCGTACATACCCGCGCCTTTCAGTATTGTTCCTGGGGGTGTTGTTCCCGGAGCACCAGTGACACTACTCCGTACTTGTGCACTCAAGCGCCTCGTCTTCTTGATGCAGTAACCCGTTCTACCACAATCAAGGCGCGACTGGGTCCCTGGTTTCAGTGGAGCCACGTCCCAAAGTCCAGAGAGGCTGGCGCATTGAAAACCGGGAGGCTGGAAGGGGCCGGCGCCACAAGCCGGCAAAACATTGAAACCACTCAGAAGCTTCTGTGGGGCAGAAATCGATCGTTGACGAGATGATCCAGGAACAAGTCATCTTGCTGTTGTTGTTATAACCAAGTACGGAGTATTATTGTTGATTCGTGTCCGGTAGTCCGACTTTGGATCGAGAGAGTTCTGTCCAGCTCCATGCAAGTGCTTGAATCCTGCTGGTCTCGCCTCATTTAACCTCATTGGCAGATACAATACAGTCTGCGGCAGAATACAATACACTAAAGCAAGGTGGTATATCAAGTATATAGAATAAAAGCCATGTACAGAGTACCTAGTCTGGTTAAATACTCTTTGTCACACGGTAGTATGCGCCGTGTCCAAGATGAAGTCCACACCGGGGTGGCGCTCACTGTCTATTGGAGCGCGATCTTAATACGGAGTAAACGTTGGACTATCAGTCGTGAGGCAAGAAGTCCTATAATCAGGATCAGCAGGGCTTTGATTCTCTGTTATATGTCGACGGTACCTTCATAAATTTGTGCCGAGGCTCTTTGTTCCAAACTGACCAATTTATGTGAGGGGTTTTATGTGATGTGCTATCCAAGAAAGTTATTAGTAGCCGGCAATCAAGTTCAAGCTTCTACTCATTTAGTCCAAACTTAGAAACTCTTCAGGAACCAATCACTCCTTAGATTAGACACCACACACACAAAAGAAAACGAATACGGAAGCTGCATACAAACTGGGGCTCTTGTGACAACACCGTGGTCCTGTTAGAATAACGCAGAAAAATAATTCACGACAATGATCCACCGCCTTGATGTAATTTCGCAACCTGGATGCCAATCGTCAGTGCCTTATGGTGCAACGTCAAGCAACGAAGCCCCAGGCTATTTCTGCCAGGAAAGGTATGTGTCTTATAGTGGTTGTTGAGCTGCCCTTCCAGCACACAACGTAATTGGCTGCCCATCACGAGTGAAGCCATACCATGCTGCAATGGGAACAATCGCCCCGTGAAGCTCAAGCGCCACCTTTTGGATGCGCCTGGTCAGCGGGCGGCCTATTGGCGGCTTTGACGTTGACAGCCAGGCAGCGAAGCGCCACAGGCGTGAAAAATAGTAACATGAATGTGAGTTATGCTATGCCGACTCTCATCAAGCTGGTTACTCTTGAGAATCATATAAAATACACTTCTCTGGCTTTGGTGCAGCGTTGGTTTCCCCATCATCTCATTAGATCAGAGGACACTCCACGTCGGAAGCATCGACACAACCATCGTTTTGTTGCACACTTTCATATATCTTCAGTCGACCCCCTCCGTCATGGCCACCGCCACGTTTACAGAACCGCTGCTCACCATTTCCGCCATGTCCCTCTTGACCGAGAACCTGGCGGCCTCCAAGGCCTTCTATACGGAAGTTTTTGGGGCGCGCGTGCTCAGTGAGGATGCCGAATCGTGCGCCGTCAAGTTTAATAACCTCATTATCAATTTGCTTGCGGCGTCTGCAGGGGAGGAACTTGTGCAGCCGGCCAAGGTTGCGCCGCCCGAGGCAGGTAAGCGGTTCCAGCTGAGCATCTGGGTGGATGATCTTGATGCTGCCATGGCGAAGCTGCGGTCCAAGGGGGTCACGTTCTTGTCGGGTCCAGAGGTGAAACCTTGGGGTTTGAGGACTGTGACGTTTGATGATCCGGCCGGACACAGCTGGGAGATTGCGCAGGACGTCACCAAATAAGTGTTGGGTGTGTCGAGGCGACGAGGGCACCATGACATCACACTCGGCATATTTTGGGGCCAGAATTCCATCTCAAAGAAAAATTAAAGGGGGAAAAGAAAAGATCACTTCGGATATTATGTGTCGCTGAATCTTTTGAAATCTCGAAGCCCCGATAAAACCGAACCCCTAAGTGACGAACCAAAAAGGGCCCCGTTACCCATTGCATCGCATAAATTTCATGTCCAGACTTGCAACGTCCACTCTGCCAGCTTCTCGTGCCTAATGTTGTTTTCGCCACGGAACCAATTCCAGCGAGGGTATCAATCTCCTCCGTACACTAGCTCCAAAGTACAATTACCAAGCACTGCACGAACCATATCCAGGGAAAATAAAGAAGACCAAAAAAATCCAAAATGTGCAAGACGCCATACTGATTATTGACAATGCTTCTGTTTGACAGTGACCAATTATATCTCGTTATAATCGCTCGAGATCAGGATACAGTATGATGTGTACTAGGGGCTTCGTTCGGGATCCTAGGCCCCAGGATAAGTCTGAGCGGTCTGAGTGGTCATTTGGTTGCCAGTGCTGTCGGCATTAGCGCCCTTCCTGAAGCCGTGTTTGAGGAGGGCGAGTAGCTCAAAGACAGTAAGGGCTGTGAACATGGCCCAGATGAAGAAGCCAAAGGCCGTAGCAGCCTGTGCTGATCTGTAGGTGCTACAGAAAGCATTATTGCCGCTGCAGGTGCCAGCACCAAGGAAAGCGGCAAGGGCAATGGAGCCGGCAAACCAGAAGAGAGTGCTGATACCCAGTAAAGCTAGAGCAATGATGCTATGGTACAGGGAAGACAGGAAACGAGGGAAA